TTCTCTAATGTTTATTCATCTTTAAGCATGATCCAAGCTGATCTTCTTTATAGAAACTTTCCGGACTCTGGGAATGCTTAACTTGACCTGTTTTTTTCTGTCTGTGTTCATCAGCCATGATGTCAGCCGCAATGGCCACCAGTGGTATGAATGGCCTTGGTACCTTAGGCCGCCAACATTATGGTCTGCCTGATGATTTACCTGACGTGGTGATCCCGGGTGGCCGGGTCGTCAACTATCCTGCAAACAACTTTACGACTCTGCAGACGACCTCGACTTCCGTCTCTAATACCAGTGCAACAGGAATAGTGACTATGGCTGGTGGCGGTGGTAACAACGGCTTGATGATGACTTTACCTGCGGGTGGCATAGCAAACGTGAACTTTCCTGACCAGGGCCAGACTGTCTCTTCCTCTGGAAACTCTACACAGGCCAACACGGCGGCTAATACCTTACTAATGAGTGGTGTAGCACCTGGTGCTGCTGCAGGCTATAGTGTGAACACTTTGGGCCCAATGAGCAACCTGAACCCTGTAAGCACAATGGGAACTATGGGCAGTAACGGTGCCAATGCGGTCACAATGAATGTGCGCATGGGCCATCCTATGATGATGTCGCAGACTGGCTCTGTAGTTATGATGGACAATGGTCAAATGGCCGCCTTTCTCTCTGGACAACCACAGCAACAACAACAACAGCAACAAGGTAAGTTGGGCAAAGCTTAGCCTTGAAAATTTGCCACTGGATTTTTAAAGTTCTAATGGAAATCTGAAAATAGGCCATCTGATAACGCGAGGTATTCGATGTCTAGACGTACACAATGAATCCACCATTTAATGACTTCACGCAAGGTGTTGTTATCCGTTTATGGTTTTCATTAATATTTGCATGATAACACTTGAACTAAAGGTAAAAGGAATTTTTTGTGGGATTTTCTTATACAACAGGGAATAGCTGGTAAATTGAAGGTGGGGGTGTTGAATGTGAATGCTAATTTGTTCACAGAAGCCCTGTGCTCGGCATATAAAACTGGTGATAATGATGATGATGTTTCACTAAATCCGTTTGACGTGATACAGACTTAGACAACATGGCTTTGAACCAACCACTGATAGGTTTAAATATGTAAATTTGCCATATGAAGTGATGTTGAGGGGTGAGCATGCAGTACTTGGAGCTAGGACATGGAGGGTAGCTGCCACAGCTGTTGAAAAGAAAACGGATTTCTTTCACTTGTCTCTGATGAGTTATAACTCTGTCATGAGGAGGACGCCTCTCGCTGACGATGCCAGCGAAACAGCTTGGAATGTTATAATCCACTGGTCTACATCTGGAGGTTATCTTGAATGCTGTGTCCTACACGATCTGCTCCTTACTCCGACTAAGTACGGAAACGAGGTCAGGCCAACATTAAATGAAGTTGGAGTACCTTTCATTTCGTTTGGAGAGGCGAGTGGAAGGGATTCGTAAGTTGGTCTCACCGGAAGCTGTAGGGGGATGGCC